TCGTAATTGAGACACATAAATTGCCATGATATTAATTACACAAAACAAGCACAAACAATAAACAATTCCATCTCCGTGATCCGTCCAAACTCGCATTTTGGCCAGAACCTTTCCTTTTTTATAAACTACTGATAAACGGTTGCCGTGACAGTAACGCAGGTACCGGCCGTCGTTGTCGGTGTCGAAGCCGCCGTCGTGGTAGTCGTGAGAGTAACTCCCCTATCTACACTGTTAGTACTTATTGTTCTCACTCGGACCGAGGTACTCACGAGACAAGAACCTCCGGCTGTCCATTCGACACGTTGACACAAATGTTTCCGTTGGAGCCCGCAGTGTAGGTCGCAGTTCCCAAAGCACTGGTGAAGACGGTTCCGCTGGCAACACCGGTGTTGAAACAGTGCTGGCCGCTGGTGCCACTTCCGTTGTTGGTGGTCAAAACAACGACTTTCCCGCCAGCACGGCTGAAGGCGTATGCGTTCGCGGTAACATACAGATGGACGTGATCGTTCGCGCCAAGACCACCGGCAGCCTTCTTCGCGGCCATGAGCTTCGCGGTGAAGGTGTACAGGTCGTGCGTGGTGCTGTATCCACTCCTCCAGAGATCCTCACGATTTGCTGGGTCGTTTCCACCGGTATATGCCTGCTCGGTACCACCATAGAGAATGGGGATACCACGGGAAAGCATGGTGAAGGCAAGGGCATTCTTGAGGAGGGTCCAGTCAGAGTTGATGCTCAGGAAGCGCTGCACATCGTGGTTGTCGATGAACATTCCGAGAAGCTCGGGACGGGCGAAGTTGTTGCTGACGCTGTTGTGCTGGTCGACAAGGGGCTGGAAGCTGGCCTTGCGGGCGTAGGCGTCCGTGATCACATAGTACATGGGGAAGTTGACGAGCGAGGACATGTAGTTCTGGTAAGGTCCTACATATGCGGGGTCACCGTTGTAGACCTCTCCAATGCTGAAGACACCAGCAGCACTGGTGAATCCCGACCAAAAGTCCTTCTCGACGTGCTTGACGGTGTCGAGACGGAGTCCATCGATCTGGTAGGTTGAGACCAAGTTCTTGATCCATGACTGGAAGATTGAGCGGACATTGGAGTCCTCAGTCTTGATATCAGGGAGACCGGCGATACGGCAGTACTCGACGTTGGCTTGGTTGTTGTAGTCGGTGATGTCACAGCTTGTGTGGTAATAGCCATCGTTGTTGAAGGGGTTGAAGGTGGTGACGTCTCCAGCACCCATGTGGTTGGCGACAATGTCAACCATGATGTACATCCCCTTGTTGTGCGCAGCCGTGATCAGCGAGGTCAGGTCCGCGGCAGAACCATAGTTGGTGTTGACAGAGTAGAGGTCCTTGGCCCAGTAGCCGTGGTATCCGCCATCAGTGTCTAAGTGCAGATGATTGTGGTCAGAATCGAATCATATAGAATATGTATATTATCATTACCGGGAGTGCGGAGAGGAGGGGGTTTGAATTACTAGCAACGATGGGAGTGATCCAGATGGCATCAAATCCGAGTCCCTTGATGTAGTCGAGCCTCTGCTCCATCCCCTTCCAGGTACCGCCGCAGTAAGAGCTCAGACTGCTGCAGGCGGTGGTGCTGGAACTGGAGGTCTTGGCAAATCTGTCCGTAAGAACCTAAATCCTGCTGGTTAGTCATTGACCTGTGGAGGCATAGCTATAGCTATTGGTTGGTTGGGGAACAAACAAAGTAGATGGATCTTGTCTTCCATGCTTCACTGTCCGCTGCTAGAACGACTGAAGGAGCGAGCAGGGCGCCGAGAAGGCAGGCGAAGGTGTTGCGGAGGTTAACCATGTTGACAGTGGACTGACTGATCTGCTGAGATATGCGACCTGAGGCTTAAGGAATGTTCACCGTGATGATGATGAGGAATAGATACAATGAGAGGTACAGATGATTGACTTTATATATCTGCATCTTTTTGTGTCTGAAATGATCAATTCGAATTCGATATCCAAGCACTGAAACGACAGGGGGGGAGAGCTAGAGGGCTTGGGGAGTTTTCCTTTTTCCCTGCAAAGATTAACCCCACACAACGTGGATTGCCCAGGGCAACATGGGGGAGTGTAATTAATTAATTGCACTCTGTTTTCTTCAGCCCAGTCCCCAGCTCGCAATCCCGTAAGGCATCATCAACAGTACTGAACGAGGTATTTCCTCATTTCCGGCCGGCCTATAGCGAGTCTGCCCTGAACTCTCGTGAAAAGGAATAACAATTAACCGGCCGGCCGTTTGACTTCCGTTGCTGGTGGGGTAGCTAGTGGTGAATCGTGAAGAGTTTCTTGGGGCTAATACCAAGTCTTTAGGTTGTAGAACCAACATCATTCGGTAACGGTCGAAAGTGGTGCCTCTGATGAGGGAGCAGATGGTGCAAATGGTGCCTGAGAAGCGCGCATGTGATGTCCCGGTTGCACTAATGGCCTAATCGGGACCGGGTTGTAGTAGTAAGCACGCATGGAACAATCTGAATAAACTGGGAATATTAGCCAATGATCCCTGAAACCAGTATCACTACCACCAAATTAAGGCCCAAATAGTAGAAACCCCACCCCCGCCCTCTCATTCCGGGGAAGAAAGCCAAGGGCGTGGGTCGAGTGGTACAAACATTAGAATAACCATATTCCTCCGGCATCCGACGCCCATCCCTGCAGTCTCTCGGCCATCCTGCTGAGTTCTTGGGCGAGTCTTGCTCACCAACGGGAAACTTCCCGGAAATACCGTCGTCTTTAAACTATTCCCCTCGCCGGAGACTCAGCGGCATCCCGGACGGTGGTGGCAGCGTTCCTGTTCCTGGGTGCCGATGCCGGTCCATGTCCTGTCCTCTAGTTAATGTGGAGTATTTGCGCAATCAGGGGTAGAGGCGGGGCATCAGGCGTAAGCTGGGGTAGCCTGGTTTACTCTAATTCAGATTGTGTTATTCACACGTGTGAAAGAAGCGCATGGGAATTTCCAAAAGAACCAAGCGAGATGGGCCCGGGGCTGAACATGAAGGTTTATCCTCACGATGTTTCCCGCTCCAAAGGACGTGGGTAGATAAAGGCCTCTGGAGATCTCTTTTGCTACAACCTACACTGCCCCCCCTCTCTCCCTGATCTCCCCCCTCTGATTTTGATTGTAACTTTCATCATCTTCGGCCATCATGAAGTTCCACGCCCTCTTTACGTTCCTCAGCGCTCTGCTCCTCTCCTACACATGCGCGGCAACCTCCTCCCCAGCAGCGCATCTTGAGAAGCGTGCAACCCAGGTCTCTGTCACCAGCTACACCTTCACCAACAATGTCCTTGCTGGTTCCATCAAGGTGCGTATACCCCCTTCACTCAACGCATGCATCCTCGCAGAAATTGACAATACCAGGTCCAAAACCTCGCCTACACCAAGGTCGTAACTGTTGTCTACGCCGTCGGCAGCACGTGGACAACCTCGCAGAGCTTCGCGGCCGCCTACAGCAGTGGCCCAGCATCGGACGGCTATGAGGTGTGGACCTTCTCTGGAACTGCGGTGGGCGCGACCCAGTTCTACGTCAAGTATGACGTTAGCGGTACTTCGTAAGTTCTCCCAATGCGTCCCTCCCCCGCCCCTCGTTGCAGTTGTAGACAATATGTTTGCTGACACGACTGTGATTGCAAAGATACTACGACCCTGGGAACAGTGTAAACTACCAAATCTCGGCGACGACATCCTCGACTACTACCAGTGCAGCCCAGTGCACGGTGACGGTTACAACCACGATGCCTTTGGCACTGATGCCGAGAATGGCTGAGGTGACGGGTATCTTTTAGACATATCCAGGTACAGCACTGTAGGATGTAATGGGTAGAGACTAGCAGTTGTGGTCAGTGTCAAACAGAGAGAGAGGTCATCTGGCCAGCTGGGTGTTTGGTGATGTTTGAGAGAGCGTAGAAAAATAGCAAATAAATGTTTGTTTCGGTCATCGTGGCCACTACTCCCAATGGTATGAGCGTAGTGCTTCCGACAAGTAAATGTTTTATGAGGTTTATCACAGGATCATGCTGTAGTGCTCTGTTACATTCTGGCCAGTCATAGGACCACGTCGGGGGCCGTACTTCATAGCACTGCAAAAGTGTACGTACGTGTAATTAGACACAAGTATAAGGTACTGTACATCACATGACAAGAAAATATACATACCTGTGAGGGCGAACGAAGGACCACCTTCACGTGAGTATGCTGGCCTTTATATTACATGCGTATCGGCGGTGGAATAGATCTGTGTTTGGGAACACATACTACATGTAATTGTATGAATAAATTTTGGTCACATGAAAGCGTACACCTGATCAGCTACACCTGAGTTGAGTCCAAAATTCAAGACTCAGACGAAGTGCGGCACAATGTATGCGCCAATAAGCCGTAGACGCAGGTACACCCCCCCGGCAATCCGTCTTTCCCGTGTTACTTTCAACATAGACCTGGCTTGCATGAAGTTGTTGCATGTTATCGATAAGTACCAAGAAATTTGAGAATCCGCTGTAAACTCGACAGTCGATCGACTGCTTCCGATAAGCATATATATATATCCTAGTTCCTGGAATTGCATCATCCCGTATGTAAATACTACTCTATATGTTGGTATCCCTGGGGGTATAGGCACTAGATTTATGACTTGTACGTTTGAGCTTAAGTTTACAAGGTCTCCATGATCAGCGGGTAGTTCCCGCCAATGATGAATGTGGTGATCAGTACTTGTGCTGCGGGCTAGGATTGGAGAAGCCGTTTCCCCGCCGAGACTAAGGGTTAGGGCTATCGACGTTCTACAAACAACGCCGGATGGGGAGTTTCAGCAACGAAAAATTATTGTATCGGGTCCCGGATCACTAGTACGTCCTAAACCTCTCCATGAACAGTAACTACTTGTAATAACGTTGTTCGGAAGTAGCATCAATAATGAATAACCTTTATGCGCACCCACCTATTTCAACTCAGGTGGCGCGGACCAGATGGACCTTTTCCCTATCACCATGTCTCAACTACCTGACCACCTTGCCCGCTTCCAAAAAATCAATTCACTCGTTCTTGACGATATTCTCGGCGTTGATGATCTGCTCTGCATGGAAGAGCATGTACCCAACCAGGAGAGGTTGAGGAAAGCTCAGATGCGGGTATATGTGCGGCTTCAGCAGAGTCAAGGGAGGCCTTCAGTTCCGCTTGACAGGAAGGTTAGGGAGGAGAAGGCATACATCAAGGATGCCGAGACCCACTCTATCAACTATGGAAATGAATCAAAAAGTGCATCATATACTCACGTAAAACTTTGGTCTGAAATAAATCATCGAAAATGTGTTTATTAAATAGACTGTCTTTAATGAGGAAATGAATCTTTTTACTATGGGGAAGTGAATTCGGAAATTAATCTTAAGTCCATATGTTACTTTAATAAACACATTATTTATAAACCCTGAAGTTTATATAATAAAAGAAAAAACAAAAGAGATACAAGAAAAAAGAATTCACCAGGGATCGAACCTGACCTATTATGCTTGCCTATCTCAAGTCTTACTACTCTTCGGTACATTAATTCCCGATTTGGTAAAAAGATAAGCCTCTAGAAACAATTTATTGATAAATAAGCATTAAATAAGGATTTATTGATAAACAATGGCGGTATTAGCCTTAAGTTGAGATAAGGTTCTTTCTTGGGTAAGAGTTTTTCAACAATAAGGCATATATACAGTTTATTTTATAGATAAGCATTAGATTTAGATAATTATTACCAAAGAATTTAAGTCTTTATACCTGATCTCCCTTATACATTAAATAAGGCTTTTTTAAGGATTTTTGGTGGATAAAGTTTATGTAATGCTGAAAAATTCACATTGTATTAGCCATATATTACTTCTAGCATCGGTATTTTAGTTCTTCTATAGTTTAATGGGTAGCATGAGGTAGATACCACCTGCAAGACTTTAGATTCGATACCCCGCTTTTTTCTTTTTATTTTTATTTGAAAATAATCCTTAAAAATCAATATAAGCCTTATAATCCTTATAATTTTTAATAAGCTTTTAAATTTAAAATAATCCTTATTTGAGATAATGCTTATTTTAGATAATGGTTATTCGTTTGAGTTTATTACTGCAGACGTAAAAGTGGAATAAGCAATAAACTGCCAAAAACAGTTAAATAAGCATTATTTCAGCATTATACGACGCTTATAAAAATACCAAATCGGTGGTAAAGTGTTATAGTCGACAGGTTGACTTGACTCAAGCAGTTACGACTAACTATACTGATGAATCGAATTGGCTCAAGCTTTTCCAATGCTCAAATTGAAACGATCGAATGTTTTGTATATCATTTTAATCATAATGGTGGGTGACATTATCCTTGGGAATTTAGTTGAAAATGTTGCAGTAGGAAACCCTAAGACTAGGAGCATTTGTTCCCATAAAGAGATCTAGAATGACTTCTCTTGAAATAGTATGCTCAGAACCCATTCATAGTATTGGAGGATTTCATTTGTACTCATATTCACGGGTTCTGACTAATTCTTTATTTCCTATTCGTCAGTTTATTGTTGTTTGTACTACTTTTCTTTAAGTATAAATATGGGATGATTCCCACTTAGCTAGAGTTGAATCAAAACGCTCATTTACGTCAATTCTTTACATATATTTTCTCTAGGTTATGAGCTCGGAGAGCACTCATGCTTACACACTCCAACCCATTTTACTTCAAACATGTCTAGCAATAGTGTCAAAATTCCCGCTTTAGCATTCAAGCTATCTGTAACGACAGCTATGTATTTCGGTGAGGTGATAAACTGGAACGAGGAAAGGAGGTATTGTGCAGTGGAATTAGGATTTGTAATGGGGATTTCTGTTACGTTCTGTCAGTTTCTGTTATGCGAAGGTATTAGTTATTATTGGACTGTGGTTGGATATATAAGGGGGCATTGTCTTGTGCTTTTACCTGTTTTCTCTCTTTCCTTCTTTCCTTATGCAACCTCTGTATTCTACTTGCTCGCTAAGGCTCGCAAAGAACTCCCTGATAACAAACCTCGCTTTAAAAACATTTTATTTTATTCCCTTCGGTTTACCTGGTATACCATACCAGGCTGAGCCACTTCGTCCCCGATCGTACGGTCGCGTTTTGTTGTTCCAAGCGAAAGAAACCTACGAAAACTGGCTTCCGGCGAAGAATTCTCCAGCCTTGACCTCCCGAAAGGAAGGAAAAGAAACCTTTCCGAAACATCACTCTACGCCGCCAGAAGAACTGGACATTCAATCATGTCGCAGCAAGCATCGCTCCAGTCCTTTTTCACCCAGTCTTCCCAGCAAGGGACAGCCCCTCCGCAGAACAGGAACACTCCGGTTCCCGACCCAACCCCATCTGGAGCTCAGGAACAGGAATTCTCCTCGACCTTTGCAACAGAATCCGACTACAACGACCTATACCAACCGAGAATTGACTACCTCTACCCGAGCGTTGTCCCTCAAACCACGTACACCCAGACAGACTTAAACTACATCACCTAGGCCATCAGACATGCCACAAGCCGGATCTGCCCACCCTCCGACAGGATTGAATACCTCGAAGAGCAATCGTTCACTCTCCGGAGAACAGTGGATACACTAAAACACCAAATCGAGGCACAAACAAACATGATCACCAACATGCATTCGGCGATCCACGCCCTCCTCAACAAACAACCACAACCGCAGCAACTGCAGCAACTGCAACAACATCAACAACAACAGCAACAACAGCGAAAACCACAACAACCGCAGGGACAGAGAATGCCCCCTCCAGCGGTCCCCCAAACAGTTCCCCAAGCAGCGCCACAGGCAGCTCCTCAGGCCCCCCCACCCGCACCTCCCCAACAAGCCCCACTCCGTGGATGGAAGGCAGGCACCTGGGCCGCCGTGGCCTCAGCACCCGGTCCCGCCCAAGGAAATTTCCAGGTTGTCGAGAAAAGAAAGAAGCCCGCAAAGCCAAAAGCGGACCCCCTATTCAAACCAGAGTACACTAAAATCAACAGGGAGATGATTGTTGAAACCACTGCCCCATCGGACGTCAACCCCTCCGAGATCAGGACCTTGATCAATGCAAGAATCCAGGACGAGTCCTGCCACTTTATCTCAGCAAGAAGAACACCTAAGGACAACTTCATCCTGGAAACAAAGTTCATCACCCCAGCAACAAAGGCGATGGAATACGCCAAAGAAATTGAGGAGGCTCTCCTCACCCTACAGGTACCGGTCGCCGTCATCCGCGCAAACTCCAAATGGTCAAAGTTCCTCCTCCATGGAATCCCCACAACGGTCGGGGAGGGCATCGAGGCGGGACAATTGGTAGTATCAGAAATCAGAAGCAACTACGGAGAGAACTTCCAACTTGCCCAGGTTCCCTGCTGGATCTCCAGAGCAGAGACTCGAATGGAGAAAACCCACTCATTAATGGTCATCGCGCTCCCAGGACAAATTACAATGGAAACACTAGGAGTTAAATTCCTATCTCTCTTTAACCGAAGCTGTCATATCGAGGCCTTCCTTCCAACCTTCCCGGACACCCAGTGTGCGAAGTGCCTCGAATACGACCATCGCCAGGAGAAATGTAAGAACAACGGGAAATGCGGCCACTGCGCCGGAGATCACCTCACCAGCTTCCACCCATGTAATGAATGCCAGGGAGGATATAGATGCACCCACACCCCAATCAGATGCCTGAACTGCAAAGGAGCTCATAAGGCCTCCGACCCACCATGCCCCGAAAGGGCCAAACGCCGATTCCTCAATAAAGGGAAGGAAAACGCCCCACCCGCTTAAGACCCACCGGCACCCGTCCAAGAGCTGCTCCCAATCGTCCAAGTACCAGCCACCGCCCCGGTCGGAGCCACACCCGTTCCCGAAAATGACCAACACATGACAAATAATGCCTAGGCCCCGAAACACCGCGCTCGCACACCAACTCAATTGTGCACGGAGCGAACTTATTATCAAGGCGGCGGTAGAAGAAGCAGAAACAGACTCTAGTATTTATTTTCTACTATTACAAGAACCATGGACCTCAGCAGAGGGATACCCACCAGAATCAAATCTCTTTTATATTTTTACAGCCAGCAACACCAATACAAAGTGTGCAACATATGTCCGCAAACATGCCAACCTCAAACCAAAACACCACTACACACACGATAATTTCATAGTATCGATTTCGGTAGAAATCCAGAACAAGAAAACCCAAATCCTAAATATATACTCCCCAGGCCGAAGTGGCCCCTTTGCCCAAATAGCAAAAACAATCCAAACCCTCGACAACTGTCTAGTAATGGGAGACTTCAACTGCCATCATCAAATGTGGTACGGAATAACATCACATGAATACAGAAACAACAGCCGAGCAGACCGCGCCAACGGTGCACGGCTAAAACAATGGATAACTCGACAGAAACTGACCCTCCTGAACGAACCAGGCGTCTTCACGCACTTCCCCAGAGCCAGAGGAAAAAGGCCGACAATCATCGACCTTACATTTGTAAAAGGCCCAACTCTCGACCACAACCTACGATGGAGCACTGAATCCTATGGAGTGGGCTCAGACCACGGGAGAACCTCCGTTCACTTACACTTGGAAAAACCACCCTTTGTACCAAGACGGATGTGGCGACAAACAGACTGGAAGCTATTGGAGAACCACATGTCAAACATTTTCCTCCCTGCAGAGGCATGGGAAACCAAGGAACATACGGAACAAACTGTCGACTTCTTCCTAGAACTGGTCAGGGCAACAATCAGTATAGTAACACCACTCTCGAAGGAAGGAGTAAGAGCCAACTCCTGGTGGTCAGAGGAAATGAAACAAATGAAGGCAAGGGTAAACGCGGCAGAAAGGAAGGCGAGAAATACAAAGAAACCCAACCACGTGGAGGAGCACCGGAAGGCATGCAGAGAATGGACAGGCATGATCCGGAAAGCAAAAGCGGACCAGCGGGAAAAGACAATGAACGAGGCGAAAGGTAGTGAGGTCTGGAGAATCCTAAATGCAGGAAGGAGAAGAGACACAATCATACCAACAATACAAGGTGAAGAAACGTTTGCGGGGAAATGCCAAGCTCTAAGAGCTCAACGTTTCCCCTCAAAACGGACGTCCCCCAACCATCCCCCTTTAAACATTAGGCCCCCCTCTTTTGACCTTAGCAATACCTTCGACATAGTCACCCCCGAAGAACTGAATAAAGCAATCGACTCCTGTCCAGCGCATTCGGCGACCGGCCCGGATGGCATCCCCTATACCTTTATTAAAGCGATAGTCAGAGCAAATACAACTCTAATCCAAGACATGTTCTCCG